CCCGGGGGCCCACCTGGCAGCGTTCCCCGATCCCTGGGCAGCCTCCCCCCGTCGCTGCACCCCGCTCCGGCGCTCCCAGCTCCGCTGAGGATGCCCTGCCGCCCTCGGCAGGGAAACAGGCTGGCCGAGCCTCTTCTTGCCCCAAAGCTCTGCCAGGGCTCCCCTTGCCCTCTCTGGCACCCCATCCCACTCGGGTCAGAGATGAGGCCCCAGGCACCCCCAACCCACCCTGGGATCACCCAGTGCCCAGGCCTGGCACGCACCCTCTGGCTGCTTGTACTGGTGGTAGAGCACCACGTCGGTGGCGTGGTTGAGGCCAGACGTCAGATTGGTGACGGACTTGTGCCCAAACTTGTGGATCTTGAAGATGCGGTTGTTGATGTAGGTGACGCCGTAGATGTAGTCCTCAAAGACGTCGATACTGAAGGGATGGCTCAGCCCTGGGGCAGCAAAGGGAGAACGCGTGCAGTTAGAGATGGCTCAGGAGCAAACGGCATGGCTGGCTGCTCTCTGCGTTGGACAGGGCTGACGAGGGACCTCCACCCTGTCTGAGGCCTCTGGCCGGGACGGGTTGAGGCACAGCAGTGCCAGCAGGCTCTGCTCCTGCTGCGGAGCATTTAAATGAGGAAGAGCAGCCCTTGCTGCTGTCTGCTGGGCATCTCCAGCACAGCGCTGGAGGTCTGCCAGACCCTCAAGGTGCTGGCCACACACGGCACAAGCCAGGCCACAGGGGCCCTGGGGAGCCTGCGGTGGAGCTGGTGGTGTGTGGGGATCCCACCCCAGAGACATCGCCCCTTGGCTAGGTCTCCTCGCTGCGCTGGTGGGTCTCGGAGGCGTTGCTCACCCTTCTTGTTGTCGATGGCCACGACAGGGTCAGTGCCGTTGAGCCCGGTGCTGCCAAAGGCATCGGCCCAGTACAGCCTCTCATTGTGGTAGTCCACGGCCAGCCCTGAGGGTGCACATGCAGACGCAGCAGTGAGGTAGAGGGCCTGTAGCCACTCGGAGCCCTCACTGTCCCCACGGCCGGCAGAGGAGCAACCAGGCTGCCCTCCTGTTCCCATGCACTCACTCCTCTCGTGGAGCTCAGAAGAGACCCAGGTGTTCTGGCTCCTCAGGGCCCCTGCCTGGTTGCATGTCCTTCCCGCCGCCCACCTCCACCCCTCGTGCCCCTCCTGGGGCCTTTGCTCACCTGTTGGCCACTGGATGTTGTCTTGCACCAGGGTCTCCCGCAGCGTCCCATCCATAGCGGCTGTCTCAATCTTGGGGTGATTGCCCCAGTCTGACCAGTACATAGTCCTGCAAAGGATGCAGTCGGTCATTCCTGGCAGCAGAGAGCAAAGCAGTCTGGTGCCCCCCCCCTCCCCCCGGAGGAGAGACCCTCACCCATTCTCCCACCACCATCCTACAGTTACTGTTGAAGCAAAATGTGACAGGCCAGCCGACTCCAACAACACTCAGCTCACGTTGACAAAGGAACAGTGACACTGAGGCACAGGGAAATGCCACCGTGGAAGGGCTCATTGGTAAGAGGAGCTGGGCGAGGACGGGGAGAGCGGAAGAGAGCAAGGCCACGAGTCTCTCACCCCCTAAGTGGATCAACTACGATGGCATGGGGTTCGTCGATCATGCCCGAGATCAGCGTCTTGCGATTCTCGCCTTTCATCTGTGCCACCTCGATGACATCCCGCCCAGAGTCCGTCCAGTAGATGTTCCCAGCAACCCAGTCGATAGCAATACCCCGAGGCATCTTCAGCCCTGAGATCTGGAAAGAGCAGGAAAGAGGGGGAGGTGGGCCACCACTCTGCAGGTGGCCTGGGTGCCTCCCGCCGTGCCCCTGGGCAGAGCTCACATTGAGGTGGGTGACGCCGCCGTCGATCTGGCGCCGGTTGCGGTTGGAGGCGGTGGAGGCGGCAGAAGAGGCAGGCAGCTCGCGGTACGAGATCCTGCCGGTGTGCCAGTTGGTCCAATAGATCTTGTTGCCCTTGACGTAGATGTCCATGGCGTCGATGCGCACGTTCTCGTCGCCCTGGAAGGCCGGCTCGTAGGCCGAGTTGGGGTTGAAGGGGTACATGCTCCGGATCTTGTTGTCATCAGCAATGTACAGGATCTGGTGCTCTGAGCCTGCAAAGGAGGAGCCATTAGCATGGGCTGGGCAGGGAGCAGGGAGCCCGCATGGGTCACCGGGAGCTCGGCCCCCGCTTTGGCCCGTCCTGCCAGGGAAGGACAGATTGACGGGCACAGGGCAGGAGCTGGTGCCTTCCCTTGGCAGTGCCAGCTCAGCATCCCCAAGGGAAGGATGTGCTGGCATCCCTGCAACAGGCAAGGAGCACTGTGGGCAGGAAGAGGCAGCAGGGGGAGGGGGGAGAAAGCAGCTGGATCCCGCAGAGCTGCAGAGGCACCCATGCACACAGCGTGCGTCCCCTCCTGACCTTCTGCCTTGCACATGTTGTCTGTCTTCATGAAGTTCTTGGCGCAGCTGCACACGTGGGAGCCCTTGGTATTGTTGCAGAGCTGGGAGCAGGTCCCAAATCGCAGGCACTCATTGACATCTGGCCAGAGAGAGGACAGGAATTACTGGGGAGATTAGGCAAGTGCCTCCAAGTGTGACCAGGTCCGGCCTGTCCCCGGGGAGCTGGTCTGTGCTAACCAGGGCTCAGCAGCCCCCTCACTCCCCAATTCCCCACCCTTCTGCCCATTCAGCACAAGAAATCTCCATCACGTTTGTGCCGTGAGAACACCGGTTCTGATTCCCCAGCTACTCTTAGGCTGTGAGGGCACATCCTACGGGTGAAAACCAACCATAAACCTGAAGGCCCAACCCCGAGTCCTGCGCAGCGACGGTGAGGAGTACCTTGGCAGGAATTCTTGTCTGGCACTTTCTGGAAGCCTCTGCGACAGGTGCAGTACGTGGTGGACCGCGACTGGATGCACTGGGCCTCATCCCCGCACATGGTGGTGTTGGTCATGCAGTCATACGACTTGTGATCTGCGGTGGGACATCGCGTCAGCGCCTGTGCCTTCCCGGTTTCCCCAGCACCCACCCTGAGCATGGGCCCTCGCCTCTCCCCGCAGCTCCCCGCTCACCGTGGGAGCAGGACTCCTCGTCTGAGCCGTCCCCACAGTCATCGAAGAAGTTGCAGCGGAGGCTGGCACTGATGCACTTCTTGTTCTCGCAGAGGAACTCGTTCTTGTCCTGGCTGCAGCTCTTGGGCTTGGCTGTGGGGGACTCTGCGGGGGGGACAGGGCAGTGGGTGCGAGCTGGGGCAGGAGGGGACCCCAGCCCCAACCCGAGTCCCGGGATCCCATCCCACGAGAGCAATGGGAAGAGAATGGCACGGGAAGGGAACGGGCAGGGACCTGATGGGGCTGGGAACCAGGACGCCTGTGCTGGGCTCCCACGTTATGGATGGAAGAAACGGGCAAAGCGAGGCCCAAACGCCTGGGTTCAACCCAGGGCTTCACCAGCAGCAGCCTGAAGACAGCAGCAAGCTGCTGCTGCATGTTCCTGCCAGGCGGACAGCGGCACCCGCCGGGGCGGCCCCCCACTCACCGCAGTCCTTCTCGTCGGTGTTGTCGCCACAGTTGTCAATGCCGTCGCACTGTCGACCGATCCACAGACACACCCGGTCGTTCTTGCAGCGGAACGGTCTGTTGGGGGGACACTGGAATTTCACTGCACCGGCAAACAGAAACAAACGGTGACGGTGAAAGGAGACGCCATAGCCAGGCTGTCGCGCTTGTCCAGAACGGCTGCTGCCCTGCCTGGTCTCCGGAGAGATCTGTCCCACGAGTGAAAACGGGCTCCGGAGACTAAAGCAAGGAGCATCACCCGGCTGCTGGCCCAGTTCTCTGCCCTCTTTCTTCCCCGCAGCGAAGTGAGACTCCAGCACCCTGCATCTCCCCACTGGCTCTCCCCACTCCAAGCCCCAACCCAGGTCCCAGGTCCAACTCTGGTCTCTCAACGGGACTCCCCTGCACACCGGGGCGGGCCCTGGGGGGGCTGTGGCCAGCTGCGAGGTCCCCACCGCCCCTCGGGGCGTCCGGGGCCGCCAGCAGGCTCTGGGACTGCCTCCCTTGCCCGGCTGCGGGTGCCCCGTGCCGGCTGCCGGCAGGGGGGGGGCGGGCGCGGGGCG